AACATACATACTCAAGAAATCAAATCAAAAGGCTTACTGCTTACCCATTGTTACAGAACGTGAATGCATAAGGAAGCAGACACTTCCATTTTTAAGACTGAAACCTAAAAGCTGTAAGGGGTGTTAATCTGTTTCTCTGGCACTTAAGCATTTCATCACATTTTGTTTTTCCACTCTTTAAATTCATCAAGCTCCAGCTTGGGGATTTCTGATCTGTAAAAAGCTTTTTAACAAACATCCCCAACACCTGCTTATACAAATACTGCTTCTGCTCAGAACACAAAAATAGAATCGACTCTATTCTGAATAATGTATAGTGTTCTGTTCCATAGGCAGTGATGCCTCTAGCAGCTACTTCAAGGCTCTCAACTGAGTCTGGCCAGTCTCCTCCAGGAGCAGCAGATTTCCTGGGGGCAATGTCCATTTTTGACACTAATTGTAATTGTAAAGATTCCGCACACTGCTTGCTTTTCCACCTGTGTTTAAACATTGCTTATGTTTTAAACTTCTGTTCATTTCAGCTCACCTAACTTTTCATAGGGGTGGTAGACTATCAGCATGAATACTGAAGTCAAAGTCACATCCAATCAGGGCTCTTACCCTTGCTAGAAGGGTGACCTTGGTTAAAAAACCTCTTGGCGTCTTGAAAGCACATGAAAGCAGAGATAATAATACCTACATTCCAGAAACGGGTGCAGATTAAATAAAATGAGATAATGAATGTAATGGCATCCAGCAGTCTGGTAAACATTCGTTTCTTTCCCTTATTTGGCGTGTATTTGTTTCTGAGTATTCTAGTGCTCCAGGAAAATGTAGTGAAGAGAGAAAGCGACGATGAATCTCTCTGCACCATGCTAACAATGCTTTTCAAAGTGTGGTCCCCCACCCAGCAGCATGGACACCCACCCCAACCCTGCTAGCTCCAGCAGAGGGGCCGGCCCAACAAGTGTTGTAACAACCTTCCAGTGAGCCTGAGGCACACCGAAGTGTGAGAACCTTGATTCTAGATAAGGGCCAGCAAAGGTTCGTGGGTACAACCAGGGAACTGTTCTGTGTGTGTGCCCATGTGTGTTACTAGTTCTTGTTACTCATAAATACAGCTAAAGGAAATGAACCATGGAGGTGGGACTGGATTTATTTAGATTGTATCTTCAGTGTCTGTGGTCACATTGTTCTCTCTCTCTCTCTTTAATTTCAGGCTAAAAAGTCTTGGGGGGGGGGCAAGAATTTAGGAGTAAATAGACCATGGTTTCTGTGGTCTGTTGGGACTGAGGATTTGAAGTGTTACTGAATTCTGGCCTCAAAAGTCAAGCTCTGGTGCCCCCAGATGGGCTTCTTTGTGTTTGGGGGCCTCTCTTCCCTGGGGAGCAGCTGGTGAGGCTAAGGTGCCCCCCTATTCAGTTGAGTCTATGTCATCTCATCACCTTCCTGGGGCCGTGAAACAAGACTTCGAGTTCAGTGTGTGAATGACAGAGAAGTCATCCAAGAATGGACCTAAGTGCTGTGAGTTTCACTTCTCAATTCTGAAAATGGGCAACCAGTTCTGACTTTCCAGTAGTTTGTATCAAAAATGATAGCAAAACAGACACATCAACTGATGGATGGCTCCAGAGCTTAGAGACCTCCCTACAGCCACACTCATCTGGGCTGAACTCGCAATTGGTTTGATTCTGCCCTCTTCTGGGTAAATGGTGTCATTGCCTCCTGCTGGGAGCAGGAAGCCTTTCACTAACTTCCAACTTCCTCAGGGGCACTGGCGAAAAGCAGACTTGCCTCTCTATCCTTTCTCCCACCCTACCCTTCTCTTACCCTTTGCATTTTCACTAACCCTATATGCTTATTTGGGGAGACAAAAAGGATATCACCAGGATGACAGCACTGGGTGAGGCTCTGAAGTCTGGGTGGAGATTGCTTTAAAAAAAAAAAAAACATTAATATTGAAGGGTTTCTCCCTTATTGTACTGCAGAGACCTAGTCCCCTTATCTCTTTCTCTTGAGGTAAGGACTTTAATCTGCATACACCTATGTTTACTGTATGCCTATGTTTACTGTGCCTTTTCACTGACTTTCCTTTTGTTCCCACAACCTCAGTGTCTTTACTTAAAGTGGCATATGAAGCCATGTGGGTGAGTTACTCAGTCATGCTGGGGGTCTCCCATGGGTACAGGAGAAATACATGTTATTATTGAACTCCTTTTGGCCTTTTCCTCTCATCAATCTGTGTGGTGCTTGTTTGCATTATTTGTTAGTCTAGAAGAACGCAGAGGGGTATGACTTCCTTTGTGCCTCAGTTTGGGTTCTGGTCACTAGCTCCAGTTTCACAGTGAACAGAGCAGCTTTGCTTCAGAATGGAGGGCTCGTGTAGCAGTTGAAGCTGGACTTTATTCTTCAGTTAACTCTACTCTTTATAATGTTGATTTTGGGCATCTCTTCTATTTCTAAAGTTTTGTGCAAGAGAAAAATTTTACTTGGAGAAAGACTGCGGTTTCTTTCTGACTAGCAAATCTGCATTGCCTATGCATAGAAAAAGGGGCTGATGACAATGTATGAGATATACTTGGGAACAAGAGGATGGTGAATAAGACCAAGGGTTTAGGCAGAGACTTCCGGGAAGATGGGGTTAAGCTGAATGGGTTTTAGTATGTTATAGGGAGAATGGTTTAATGAAAGGAACATGAGGTTTCAGAAATGAAGATCCTGTTTGAATCCTAATTCTTCTGCTTAATAGCTATATGGCTTGGGCAAGTAATGTAACTTCTCACCCTCAGTACCTCATCTGTGAAATGGGAATGAAATAATTATTTCACTAAGATGTTATGAGAATCCAGTAAGTAATCATCTAGGGCAAGTGCCAAGTCGCAACACTGGTCCGAAATATGGGAACTTAGCTATCGATGGCTCCTGAGTCTGCCAGATTCTTACTCTCTTTTCATAGTTGTCTTCTCCTCCAAACAATACATAGAATACATAGATGATTTTATTTGTTTTTATGTCGTAATGCCTCATGCACCGGAATGTATGCGGCATTTAGTACTCAAGACAGGTTGGTGGAGGACTTGAGGGTACAAAGGAATGTCCCCAGGGTGGGGATCCAGGGCAACCTTGGGGTAATGAGGTGCGTCCTGCCCCCTTTCTCTCCCCTACTCATGGTGTTCTTTTATTTTCTGCCACTCACCAGCCCCAGTCTATTTCAATCCTCTTACTCATTTCCATGGTGTGATGTATATTTTGAGAATGTACCTTAGATCAGAGTTCCTCTGACACCTCATTATGACTTTCTAGCAAGTTGCTCAGATAATCTGTGTGATTGCAAAAATATTAGGTTAAACCCTTATATTACTGGGCCTTCCATACCAACAGGCAGGAGATTTCTAATGGGTGGAACCTGAGCTCCCACAGTCGTCATGGCAACCACTGCAGGCCAGAGTCTCCAGTATTTTCTTGCCATCTCCTCAAACAACACTCATACCTTTCACCTAATAAGACCTAATCTATTTTGGGATGACTTCAGACCAAAAATGTCTAGGGGTAGTGCCATTCTTTGAGTGGATTTAAGGATAACTGGATATAAAGCAAAGGTTATATGCTCTGAATAAGGCAGGTACAAAATCTGAGGCTCATGCAGAATGCAAGGAAGCTTCTGGCTTCATCAAGATGTGTCTGGCAGAGAAGGGATGTCAGTAGCTTCTCTCGAGCTAGCCTCACCCTTCAAGTGAAAGGCACTGAAGTTGCCTGAAACTGTGGTCTCAGCCCTGCGATCTTCCAAACAAATCTGGATCTAGTTGGAGGTTCTCCTCAGACTCAGGCATGCCTGGGCCAAACGAGGGTCAGACACCAAGGACTAGCGAGGGTAAAACGGATTTGAGGAAAATCTTAAGAGGTAGAATGAGCAGGACATGTTGAAGCAACAGCATGTGGAGAGGCCTTCACTAAGACCCTGCTCAGATTGGGGAGGTTTCCAGGTTCCTTCAGGAGGAGCCTGAGTTGGTGGGGGATGGGAGAGGACCCCAGATTGCATGTGCAGGTCCAGCACAAAATGTGGGCACAACCAGCCAATTTCAATTCTGCTTTTCTGGCTCTAGCTGGAGGTTCACCTCAGGCTCAGGCCTGCATGGGCCAACCCCTCTAACCCTGATCTTGGCCATTAAGAAAAATCAAATGGAAATGAAGGGGGAAGAGACTTAGTTTCTTCACAAGAGTCTTGTAATTTTGACAAATCTCACATCTAATCTAGAGACCTCTATAATCTACCCATCCCAATCTGTGACTGTATTAGATTCATATCTATTGGCTAAACTGGCCTACCCAGACTTGCTGGAAATAACTGCTAGCAATCATGTGAAAAACAAACCAATTTCAAATTACACTTGTAACTTTTTTTTAAAGATTTATTTATTTATGCAAATAGAATGGGGGTATAGGCCAGAGGTGCAGGGATGGTGAAAGGATTCACCAGAGACAGAGTGGGGAACAGAACAGGCAGAATGACAAAGTATACTACTGAGGGGAGCAGTGGGCGCGGCAGGAGAGGTCTGCTGTGCCAGGTTGATCACCTCCAGGCCAGGGATCGAACTTGCACTGAAGCGGCTGCATCTAGCTTGCAGTGCTGCATCCTAACCTGTTGCACCACCAGGAAGGGCCCTACACTGTAATTTTTAACTGTCTGACCCTTTTGAGGGTCAATTCAGTATCCCTGTTTGCTTTTTCCTGACATGGCATCTCTGCCTCTTTGCTCTCCTGCATACAGAAGTGAGTAGATTCTGTTACTTATTTTCCAGCATCCTTGAAAGGTTGATGTCTAACTCTTTGAAAAGTTCCTCATGTCTGGAATAAATTTCACCTATTTCCTTGAGCTTATCTTTTACCACCTTACCATCCCAAACACTCCAGATTCAGTGCAAGTAAATATAGTATCTTTTGTGGCATGTATTTAGAAACCAGAGGAAAAATCAGAAACTTTACTATTATAAAATATGGAATATTTCCCGAAGTTCTCATACCTTGACGATCATAGTTTGACCGCACTAAATCTCTGTCAGGTAAAGGAATTGGGACGTTCACCTTCTTGATATGGCAACTGAGGTCCAGGAAGCCTGGACCTGGGTTGATCAAGATCATCAGGGTGGATTAACAGGAACAGGCACATACAGCACCAGCAGTCATGGTAAGTGGTTACAGTAGTGATCACAGCCAGTTTCACTTTAGGGATGAAAAGACAAAACCACTGGCCCACCCAGACTTGAGGGAAAGGATCACTAGCCTCATGCTAAGTCACTGGCAATGACTGCTCAGACACCAGGTAGGCATTAATGCTATTCTGAGTCCAGGTGGTGAACTTCAAGCCATTTTTTCCTTTGCCATTGAAAGTTAGTGCAGACCCCACAAATTAAAGGTCTGGCTCCCCGTAAGACTGCCCTTGCTTAGATGTCACTTGCAAGTAGGGTCTAGGCCAACCACACTTCTAAACTAGCTACAAATCTGGTGGGTTCCCATGACCTCTCTCAGGTCTCCATATTTGTTAGCCAATCCACAAAACTCAAGGAAAACTCTTCACTTGGAATTAGTTTTATTCTAGAGGATATGAACCAGAATCATCCAGATAAAGAGATCTAAGGAGGTGAGGTCTAGGAGGGTCCCCATGCAGAGTCCCTGTGAAGTCACCCTGGGACACGGATGTGATCATCAGTAGGGGGTGCCACTGAGTTTGGGTTCCAGTGTCTTTATGGGGTTTATGGGATAGGTAGGCCTGGTAACTTAATCGCCAGGCTCCCTCCCTGCCCAGGCTCTAAGTCCCAACATGCTAGTTAGAGATATGGGTGGTCCTTTCAGTAGCCAGCCCACATCCTGTGCCATCTCACTGCCATAAACTGAGGATCACTTTAAGAGCCTCATGAATAAGAGTCATAACTTGGGACATTCCAAGGGTTTTAGAAGCTCCATCCCAAAACCCAGAACAAAGAGCAAACAAATTCTGTACACACAGCATAGCAGAGCCAGGTCTTGACCCTGTGCCTGCGGAATCCTGGTCAAGTGCTTTCCTCTGAGCCCCATACCAGAGCAGAGGGCCTGGTTCCCACCTGGCTTTTTAGCCTTGAGTTTAGGAGATGGTGAGGAATCGTGGAATGTTCTGACCTCTGGAAGACCTGAAGAGGTCTCAGATATTTCAAAACCACACTCTGTCCTTCCCCTTTGCCCACCTGAAACCCACAACCCAACTCTGTCTTCCGACAGCAATAAAGCCTACACAGTCAGGATGCTGACAAACACACCACCCCCTCTGCCCCAGCAGAGAGCTTGTCTTCAGGACAGCCCAAGGCGCTTGAAAGTAAGCCACGTAGGAGGCACCAGGACAGACCGTAATGTGACGGCAGATTAAATTTATCTTTATCTGCATTTTCAACAAAACCTTCCTCCCACACAGTTCTCTGCCCTAAGTAGCAATGTTCCCAAACCTGCAAGCCAAAATAGAACAGTGGATGAGAAATGCCTTCCAAAGGAACAAAATCCTGGGCAAGCAGGCACCCTATCCACTTTAACTAACCTATGAGTGGGGGTGGGTTTCATTTACTGCACAAATCATGCGTTGCCATGCACCATAACAGGCACAATGCCACACGTCATTACCCTCTCTCATTACCTTAGTATACCTTACTACCCTCCTCTAATAGATTAAAAAAACAAGCTGTGAGAGATTTAAAAAACTGCTTAAATATATGCAGCGAGAAAGGCAACCTATGACTCAAACCCAAGTTCAATTTTAAGGCCCACTCCTTTGCTTACAGCAGACTGCCTCCAGGAGCTGGTAATAGCTTGAAACTGTTGCTGTCATTTTGTTTTCTTGGTGCTTTATTAAGTATTATTTTTGTACAATTATGTAATTAAACTGTGATCCTCAGAAAACCTGTAATTTTCAAAGTCCAAAGCAGCAGAACAAAGCTAATCAAAGAAAAGCTTCATTTACACTAATCCTGCTGAGAGATCGCTCAGGTCATTTCATTGAAAGCCCTCCTGACCTTGCTTAATGTAGTCTAAACATGAGGCTGGTTTCAGTTCCTAAACCACTGCTAATATATGCCTCTGGTGCAGAACAAATGCGCTATTAATGATAAAAGTTTCAATCACATAAAAGGCTCGCTGTGGGATTGTAAGGGCAGTCCTATTTCCCCGCTCCTTTTTATTTTACCTCTGATTATAGGCCTCTGTTGATAAAAGTGGGGGCCCTCCAGAAGGGTGGGCAGTAGGCCAGAACCTGCATTAGCTTCACACTGGTGCCACCTGGTGGCCAGTCCAGGCATCTATATGCAGACCCTTGGGCCATTGCAGGTTACAGGTGGGGTGTAGTTTAAACTTTTGGTTTCTGCCTTCCCCACATGAAAAGCAGATGTTTTCATAAGAGCACACGACAGTCCTGTGTGTGAGACAAATGAGGCAACTACCTACTTCATATCACTGCAGATTCAACGTACAGATTTCCCCATTATCCAAAAGTTTAGTATTGCTGTGAAATGCTTTCATGAACTCATATGTCTTGAAGTGAAGAAGAAATTACCATTTATCTGTAAGGAAACTTTCGTGCATTCCCAGTTCCCCCCAGTTACCATACCAGATCGCACCCACCAAATAACAGTAAACAAAAAAATTAAAATAACACCAACATGTAGTACAAAGAGGAATGATTTGATGAATACTTGGCCTGCATAAAGTAGGAATGAAGTAGGCTCAGGGTAGCCCCACTTACCAGAATCCAGAAGACAGCAAAGCAGCAGAGGCTGGAAAGTGACGGTCAGGTGGTGTTTGTTAGTCTGCGTCCTGAGGTTGGGGTGGTGGGAGGCAGTCGGGGCGGCCAGGTCTCTGACATCGCCCTTCACCTTTCTGCGTCTGCTGCCTCGCTGAGGAAGGCCACGGCCGGTCATCTGCTGCAGCTGAGGTGGCCGGTGATGGCGTCAAGCAGCTCAGCAGGTGCCACTGCTTAGCTTCACGCCGCCTCCTAAGGCCAAGGCTTTGCAGGCGCCGGACATCCCGCAGGCCTGTCCTAAAACCTGAGCCCCTTCAAAGTTAGAGTCTCGCTGTCCTGCCATCGCGGCAGCACCTGGCGTCTCAGCGCACCCCTCACGCCAGGGCTTCGGGCCAGGCCCTGGGCAAACTCCCTTCGGCTGCGGCTCTGGCGCGGGGCTCCCGGCGTCCAGTTCACGCCAAACACACGGGCCTGCGAGCATGGCGTTCGGGGCCCCTCAGGCCACATCTGGCTCAGGGGGCGCAAACTGAAGCAGGTGGCGCTCAGACGGCCCAGGCACGCTCAAGGCCACGGCCGAGATGTGCTGAGCGGTCCCGGAAGGAGCAGGCGCTGCCGGCGACTCCAGGGGCCGAGGCCTCGCAAGGAGCAGCTGCTGCCGGAAAACAAACCTTGAAACGCGACTGTCGCTTTCCGGCCTTTGTCGTAAAAGCGGAAATCATTTTTGGATGTTTTTGGGGGAGTGCAGGAGCGTTCCTGGGCCTTTGGTTAAAAAAAAGTGGTGTGACCCTGAGTTCAGAAGGTGGAGGATAATCGCACGCTGGGGTGGACGAGTGTTGGACGTTTTTCCTTGGGACATGTTCGTTTAGCCCTCCCAAGGTCCCGACCCAGAAAGCCGCTCCTGCTCCCCTCAGATGCCACTGATAGCTGGTGGTAACCCTCCCTGTGAAGACGGCGACTCCTCGGTCAGAGTCTAGAGCCTCGGTCTACGCCACAGCCCAGAAGATCATGAGAACGTTCAGGCCGTCCGAGGCCTTTCATTCGGCTGACTTTATTACCTTCGCGAGGTCTCGCTCCACCACCTTCCTGGGAAAAGGATAATCAGACTTTTTCTCAGCGTTACTCCCGAATAACGTTTCGGAGCGTCAGCTACGTGACCTGCCCTGAGTAAGTAACGCACTTTCTAACTCTGAGGAGGGCACTGGCAGGTCAGGGAGGCCGTCTTGTGCTGCCATTTCGTTAGGAGAGGACAGACCCTGGGTGACCAGCGCCTGTTGGAGGCAGAGTTGCCTGGGTTGAATCCTGAATCGGTCCTAATTGTTATATCCTTGGGGTGTTTCGTTAGCCTCTCTGAATTTCTTGATCTGTAGAGGGGACATATGAGTCAGCTTTGCGGGATGATGGTAAAAATAAACCTGATTATGGAAATAAATAAAGACCACCAAATGAGGGCACCCTATTCACTCGGGGCTCACCCTAGCAAGGGAGCGGCACCCCCACTTCTTCCGGTCGAGACTCGTGGGCCGGCAGTGAAATAGGGCAGGTGCGCTCTGATTGGAGGAGGTTGGTACCCGGAAGCTGAAGGCGGGCCCGCGAGAAGCGGACCTCTAACGTGATTGGCTCAGGGAACCTATTTGGCTTTCTCTGATTGGTCCTGAGTTGGAAACTAGGGAAGCCGGCAGTGGTGTGCAAGTCCAGCCTACTGGGACGAACCCTTGGAAGCTGTGGTGCGGCTTTTCTCTGGGTTGCTGCAGAGATGCGGGTGCAAGTTCTGTCTTCACTTATGGTTCATCATTGTCCTTTGGCAGGTCCAGTTTTCCTAATGTGTTCAGTGCTTGCCTTGTAATTTGTGACACACATATATACAGTAGATGATAATCATTAGAATTTGAAGTACTCAGAGGTGGCTCTAAAAGTGTAATTTTGCTAGTCATTATTGGTTGCTTTCCAACAGGTATGGAGGGATCCTCTTTTAAAGGGTTAGGGATGCCTATAGAGACAGTGGGAAACAGAGAGGCCCAGTCTGCGGTTAGCTAGATTATTCTTGTAGCTAGATTGGAAAGGGAGCTGGCAAGATTTGAGATAGAAAAACTGCCAAAAGGCTGTGTCACGTAGGTGGCTTTAAAGATGTGTAAGAGCCTTTCCTAGGCATCCAGAGCCCAAGAGTGATTCAAAGCAACCGACATAAATAAATACAGAAAGGGTGATTGTGTCCAAGCTTCTAGTGTAGTTCCTGTTTAGCCGACATACCGGCCTCTAAGGACCTGATAGGACCATATTTCCAGGGCTCTTGAGGCCTTTGGGCCAACTGATTGGAGGAGTGGAGGGAAGCAGGCAAGGTGCACATTTCCGAGTACACCCAACAGGTTGGACGCCATTCCTGGAATGGAGGTTGCTGGAAACTGGTGCCAACTTTGAGGCAGAGAATCTATTCGGAGCCGGCGCTTCGGGAAGGCTCATGGGAGCTGTGTGTAGGTGGCTGTGAGTGAGAACGGAGTCCTGTTATAGAACCTGTGTACTCGCCAGTGATGACGAGACTCAGAAGGCTTTGAGGAGGGAGATGATGGTTGGGGTTGAAAATAAAAGGGAAGTTGTGGAAACTGATGAGACAAGAGGGAGGCTGGACCCATTATTTTTCATTAGCCAAAGTGAGAGGGAGATAGAAATTGGTAAGGCGAGAGTGGCCGCAATTTTAGTGCCAGTGTGGGATCTGCTAATGGGCTGCCTTTTTTGATATGTGCCCATGTTGATGGTGTCATGTATAGAGTCAAATGCATGACTGATGACTTCAGATGAAGATACTAAAGTCACTGGGAGCAGACCCCAGGGAAATGAGGGGTAGCAGCTCCAAGGAAATCTGATATCTGATCATTTTGTTGCAACAATAATCATAATAATTTCACATTATTTTATATTTCTGTTTGAAAATGCTCTGTGTGGCTCATTCTGGAGATAATACAGTGAAATTGGCCTACTGATTCACTCTCAGTAGTAGTGTAAGTTAGTACAACACCTTGGAAAGCAATTTGATGAGAGGTGGCAAATCCCACTACTGGCTCTGTATCCTAAGGAAATACATATTTTTAAAGCAAAAGCTGAAAGCCCAAAAAACTTCATGACTATGCTAACTGAAAATAGTGAAAACCTAAAACTCCTACAGTGGAAAATGGTTTGGTAAATGATGCTATGGTGATTCAATGAAATATTATGAGTTTATTAAAATGTAAATTGCAATTATACTGATGGTAAAAACATGGAAATATGTTTGATATGCTAAGTGGGAGTAGAGTGAGTAGAATATAAAACACTTTGCACTTTAATATTATATCTGTAAATGTGTGCATGTGTATGTGCTAATACATGCTAAAAAGTCATGTGAAGAAATGAAAGTAGGTGTTGTACTAGGTAGTGTGGGCTCCGCGATCAAGCCACTGGCCTCGTATCCCATGATTTACCACCTTGTGACCCTGAGTCACTTTCTCATGGTTTTAGTTCCTGTCTATAAAATGGGGAATAATAAATGGAAGCAATAAAATCACCCATCACAAAGAGTGGAAAGTATTAAAATGAGATAAGGCATGTAAAACTCTGGGGCTCTTGAAAATGCACAATGAATGATTCCGTTGTTATGAGGGATTCTAAATATGTTAAATATGTTACTTATTACCAGAATGTTTTAAAAACTGCACAAGCACTAGATCATCACTCTCTTTAATGGACTTAGGTTGACTCAAATGGGATTCAGCCTAGAAAAGAACATGTTAGGTTCTGGACACTCTGTTTTGCCTTTGTGACTCTGTTTTTGTTTTGTTCTTACATTTTAACCCAAGTTGACATGTGACCAACTCTGTGGGTGAAATAAGTTCAGTACCCAAAATCAATTCCTACTTAGTGACTTAGCCAGGACATTTAGCTTTTTTCCTTCCTGTTGAAAGCACAGGTTTAAACAATTTAATCTCCTCTACTCACCATCCCAAATGGTAGTGGCATTAGGGATCAGCTAGACAGCTGCAAAATGAAAGGGCCAGGGATGATGGGGTTTAGGCTGGGCAAGGCTTGCTTATAAACTAGATTACTGTCATGTGAGGCTTGAATTAGTGGGCAAGGCAATAGGTGAGGCTGCCAATTATTCCCACGCACCCCATGGGGGTTGTCATTTCACTTGAGACAAGTGTGGTCTTGGCTTCTGGGGCTTTGGCAGTTGGTACTGTCTCAATTCCTTTCATCTATTCAGTGTGTTCAGAGGGGTCTACAGAGCTAGTCAGAACAAACATTAGTTTCATGTGATCATCTTCGTGCCAACTTCAGAAAAAGCCCAGAGGGCATCTCTTAGTGCCACTGTTTCTCTCATCATCACAAAAGACTTAAAACTCCTTCATGTGGACCCTGCCTCTTAGTACAGTAAAAACCACTGGCATCACTGAACACAGGTTTAGGATCCATACCCTGCTTTAAACATGAGTCACAGGCCCTGTTTACACCATGAACATAAGACTGCTGTTTCCCAGGTCAGGTTTCAGTGTGAACTGGCTGGACAAATCCCCAGGACACCAGAACTGTGTGGGTAGAACTTGCCACACAGGTATCTGCTGCTCTATGCACGTTTCCAGAAACAGTGAACCTCAAAATATATGTCCAGTAATTAAAGTGTTAGGATCTATTGTTCAAAAATATCCACTAATGTTCACAGAGAGGTTCATTATAGAATATGGTAGATTAAATACTCATGTTAGTGTTCATCTGTCCTTAACTAAAGTAATGGTAAAAGTATAATCATGCACAAAGCTACAATATGAGAGCGAATAGGAAAGGAAACGATAGATTAAGATTTGGAAACTGGAGAGTTAATGGACAGTTTCATGTCCTAGGCAAAGCTGAATCTTACATGCTTAGTGACAAAAACAAAGAAGTATGTTCGTTCTTGCTGTGGGTTCCAGAATCATTATAGAATTGGTGTACAAGCTACTCCTGAGGGCAAATGTCTAGAATGACTAAGAAATGGGGTATTTGTTGAAGTTCTCAGTAAAAATAACTAGGGCTCCAGGGTCTTGACTCTACAGTGCTGGAGACTCCCCTTCTAAAAAGGGAGTCCAAAGATTTATGTTCTAAATAGGTTGAATCAAAGATATTCTGGAACCACCAGACATAAATGATGCAGGAGCTTAATGCTGAAAATATGAT